GAATCCAGGAGGGCAGGAGCTGTGTGCCATTCACAGCTGTTTCCCCAGTGCCTACAACAATGACTGGCACATAGTAGGAGCTTCCTAATGAAGGAATGAAAGCACATTCATGCACCACAGCCAAAAGACAATTCTGACAATCAGCACGCACATGGAATAGGGCTTCCGAAGACTGCCCTGCTAACATCAAAAATCTTCTGTCTAATAAGCCCAGGAAATGAAGACTGTGTGAGAATACAAAACACAAATAGTATATTTAGTCTTCAGACTCCAAGGGTTCTGAAATCGGTGACAATTTGGAAAGTAGCTATCACAGGACTTATAAAGGGATGTTTGTGAACTGCTCTTCTATCCTTGAGAACATCAAAGGAAATGGCATTCTGGACACCCACCTAACCATTGTTATGGATGTCAAAATAAACATAAAACAAAATATAAAGCCAGGGATTGCTTTTCTAACATAATTTGTTCACCTATTTTTTTCTTTTCTCAGGGAAAAAGATAAAATGAAACTATATAATTGAACATTCAAGGGAGTCTGTGGATTTGAGAAAGGCCATAGAATTCTAGAGATGAAAGAATTTTTTTATTAATGTGTGTTTTAGGAGCAGAACCCTTTGTTCAAACAAGGTCTTAGAACATAAGAGAAAATATATGTAAAAAAGATGAAAGTAGTGGTGATCTGGTTAAAGTCAGGGAGACCCTCACCTACCCAGACATTTCCCTGGGTTGCAAGCATAAGGAGCAGAGTGAGACCTGCAGATGTGGACTAATCCTGTTGTTTCACAGACCATGGGAAGGAAAGTGCCAGCCTATATGACAAGGGTAAATAAGGAAATTTCAAAGCTGATGCTCAGAGCTGAGCCTGCACATCTTTTCAACTAAATCATAGCAACCTTTCAAAAGAATAGAATAATACACTTAAAGAGAGTTTGCTTGTCTGGGCTCACCAGGCTTCTTCTGAGTACAATTACATCTTGCAAGAAACATTTTATCTTCTGTTAGTGATGGCACTATATTCTTTGTGTTCTTTCCAGCATGGTGGGTCCTCTCAGCCAGACTCATCTGGACCATACACCCTCCCTGTGCTTTTCTTCTCTAACAAATCACATTTTTCCATGAAGTCTGGGCTTACGTTAGGCTTCTTTTCTAAATCTGCCTTATTTTAAAAATTGCTATACAAAACTACTGCACACCAAATAGCTTTGCAAAATTCAAATGTTCCCTAAAAGTAGTGAAGAGAGACATGACCCAGAGACTTGTAAAGCTGTGACAAAAGCAGGCAGAGCTTTTGTCTGAATGCATTTCTTTCTGTGTGTTTTGACACCTCACACTTGGCACAGGACGGAGGCAGCACGGGAATTAGGGAAATCAAGGTAAGAACTGATGTCACAAGCTCTCTTAGCAATTACTGAAGTATGTTACTCAACATGTTTATTCCTTCATTCATTCATCTAATGCATATTTCCATGCTGGCCAGGTACTGTGCTAGGCTCTGAGGATACCAAAATAAAACTGTAACTTACAGCACTTACAGTCTGTTAATAAACTAGCAATTACAGAATATAGTGATGCCACTGAAGGATGAGCAGAGAGGGCCATTGTGGTGGACTTTTACCTTGGTGATCCTCAAAACATCTTGCCTTCTATATTCACACTTTTGCATAAGCCCTGCTCGTACTGACTTTGGCTAATGAGATAGTAGCAAGCATGATGCATGCAGAAGATTGAAAAGCGCTCGCACATGAAGGCTTTTCCATCATGCAAAGTCCAAGTTAGTCATACTGAGAAAGTGACATGGAGAGAAAGAAAGCAAGGCTGGCAGGGGAGAATGGGGGAGGTGTTCTAGCCTTCCAGCTGTCCTTACCAAGGTTCCAAACACATGAATGTAGCCATCTTGAATGTTCGGGCCCCATCCACCACCTGAGTGCAACAGCATGAGCAACCCCCAGTGGAAGAATCACCCGGCTGAGTCCCGAGCAACCCCCAGCAGAAGAATCACCTGGCTGAGTCCCAACCAACCCAAGACTCAGGAAGAAATAAATCAGTGGTTGTTTTAAGCTGCTATGTTTTGGGGTAGGTTGTCACATAGCAATAAAAACACAGCCATATACATTATTTAAAAAGAACTTTTATTGAAAATAATATCAGGTGAGGGTTTTCAATTTTGAATGATTCATTTTACAGTGTGATCTCTTGTTAAAATTATTTTCCAAGTGATTATTAATATGGTATAATCTTTAGTTTGTCATATTTACTCATATAAGGAAGAGAAAATCAGTAGACTATGGTCAAGGAAAGAAGGCAAAAAAAAATTTATAGAAGAAAGAGGACAGAAAGAACTGAAGGCAATCTGGGAGAATGAATTTTGTTTGCATATTTTCTGGGTAAACTGATTAGTTCATGTGCAGCAAAGAAGTCAGTCTAGACAGTCTGCTCCTAGTAAGGCTAATGAGGGGTGATCAAAGGAGAAAATTTAACTGCTTATGGATTCTCCTCAAAACCTTGAGAGCTTCTCAGGGGGCTTAAGTCCCAGGCTGTCTCTGCGCATTGGCTGACAGTGTTCTGTCATTAAGGTCTTTATAACAGCCAAGGTGGAATGCTCCATTTTCCTCATCACAACTTTACATTCTCATTTTAATATATCTAGCCACTTTATTCTAACCTTTTTATTAATCTTTTAGGTTCTCTCACTGTAAAATTAGATAATCCATAAATAATAATTTCATCTTTCCCCTTTTATTAATGTTAATATATAACTGCTGACAAACCACAATTCATGTAGGATTAGAAACTCAAACTACCAAGCACTCAGAGCACACATTCAGTTGGTGTGGCTGACCAAGGATCCTTTCTGCTAAGAGGTTTTTGATCAGTGTGGCTGAGGCAGCTCTAATTTGGACCAGAGAGCACTGGCAGATGGCTCATTTAGAGTTAATTCTCATCATAAAAATTCTTCTGAAATCATCTGAATCCATGGGAAGCTCTGACTTCAAATCTAGACAGTAACAACTCTTGCCTATATACTCAGCAGATGGTTAATTCTTACGACAGTAGTACTCCACAATCACTAAGCTCTATGGGATGCTGAGTTTATTTCTTGTAAAAATCAAAGTGAAACAAGCACTATTTGCATGAAAATGTTGTAATAAGATCCAAAAAATAGAGTTGCCTTTTGTTTCTTCTGGGTTTCTTTTTTTTTTTTAGAACTAGATTGGCCAGCTACATAAACGTTAAGATGTAATGAAGCAACTAATTTAATCCACTCTGCTTTCCATCTTTGACAGCTGCACACACACACACTCACACACACACACACACACACACACACCCTACCACCACCACAACCACCATTGCCATCCCACTGCCACACCAGCTGCCCTATGCTATAGATCACATAGTCCTTGTATGGGAATTAGGTTTACACTATGTAAATGTTCAACCAAGGATCTACTATGGAGCTCTAGCAATGCTCTATTCAGTCTAGGAAATTTGCTGTGGTGCCAGGCTAAAAGATCGAGTTTTCTGTGGAAGATAAAAGCTGCTTCCTTTATCTGAAGGAAATTAAAGTTTATTCCACAGATCAGTGGTTAACTCTCCAGGGCAAGCACTTTTCTTCCTGCAAACTTCAACAAATATTTCTACAAGTCAGGGGAATATGAATCTTCTTCCTTCAGCCAGCTAAATGGATATCCTGTGGCAAGTTATTTGGGAACAACAAAACAGGCAATCAACTGCTTAAGTGGTACAATCAGAAAGGCCAAGAGAGACTTCCAACCTTTCCTGAACGCCTTAATAATTGAAACTTACATTGATACCATTCTGTTTGCAAAAAGACAGAAATTCCCTGTTTTCAAGGCTCTTATGTGGCTCTGAACCATCCCTTTGGGGAACTGGTGTCAACTACTGTCACATTATATTAAAGACCTGACAAAAAAGAGACATGGGATTGATGTTTTTAACTGAGCAGACGTTGAAAGTTGGTGGGGCAGTACCTAGGGGACTTTAGGCACTGAGATGCTAAAAAATTAGATATATTGTGATGCAGAGAGATGAAGGAAGGAAGGGAATCACAGAAAGAATAAGCAATGACAACCAAAGGCAAATTTTGCCCCATTTTTCCCTTTTTCTACCTCCTAATCTTTACTGTAGCAGCCATCTCTCATTAAGCACTATGTAGCAGGTGTGCAAAGGTCTTTGTATGTGTTCATCAGGTCTTTACATTTCTGTTTACAGGAAGCAGAAGAGTTTAGGGTCCTGGTTCCAGAGGTTTCTCCCTAGCAGGGGATGGGATCATCCCATGCCACGTGAGCTTTTCAGGAACCTGGCATAGACCCTGAGGTTCCCAAGAATGAACATTCCTGGACATTCAGTAAAGAGTTGTTAATATCCTTGCCTGGATCCCTTTCTTTCTATTCTGAGAACATTAAGAGAGGGAAGGCTACTGACACTGGGAATGAATAGTTATAGGAAAGAAAATGGCCTTGAGGAACAATTTCAGGAAGGTGTGAGAAGATTAAGAGAGGACCAGAGAATGTGTTCCTGGGGGTGGTGACCAAAAACCACCAGGATGGACTTGGGCGGGCCTGAGAAATCAACTGGGGAGGGAAGTCCTAGGAGAAAGATTGGTCTTCTTATCAATCTAGAGGTTTTTTTTCCCATTTATTATGGTTTCAACCCTAAAATAAACATGAACCTATTCCATGCCTCAAACTGGTGGTTTGAAGTATATTTATTGGAAATATTAAAAATCTATATTTTTACTTTAGGACAGATAATCGTGTTTTACCTCAATGATCTAGTTTGTATTTAGCTTAAAGGACATCCTTGAAATATCTGTTGGTTTTTTTTTATAAAAGCTTCAAAGTTAAAAGCGGAAAGGAAGATTGTTTAGGTTGAGAGGTTCTGTTTGGGTTTACTTTGCTCTCATCGTGGGTGCTGGGGTGATTAGCATCGTGCAGGGAATGTAATTCCGACACCCTCTTCTGTGGTGGGGGTGAGAAAGCACTGGTGCCACTAGTCCCTGACCTCTTCCTTAGACAAGTTGCAAATGAAAATTGAGGAATTGGAGTAGCTATGGAAACCAGGAGGGAAGGATTTTTTTTTTAATGCATATGAATAAGAACAAAATGACTGGCATCCCTTTTTCTTTTTCTATCTGTGACAAAATTGTGTCCTGGTTTCTACCTTCACTTAGAGTAAATTATGGGGGAAAGAACATGATGAAGACCTGCTATTGTCACAGTGTCATTTCCTCTTTCTTTTTTTCTGTGGACTAATTTTAAAGCCATTTGATAGAGTTAATCATACAGGCCAGTCCCATTGTCCCTGCAAATGTCTGCCTTCGTGCAGGTGATTTTGTAGAGAGGGGCTTCTCCAATAAAGAAGAGCTTCTCTTTCAACTCCATGGACATTGGAGAGAGTCCCTTTCAAAATAAGGAGACTCATGTCTGGAGAGACAAAGGCCTTTACTTTCTCAAAGGCCTCTTGGCCCAAGCCCAGGTATGAGTCCTCAGCACCACGTTTGTCTCTATGGCACAGCATTCGAGATTTTCATGAGGCTACCTGACTTCACTCTGTTCCCTTTTATATATTGATCCTTTTGGTCCCAGTGGGACATACCCATTTTATGAGTTACTGACATTTATAACCTACCTTATTTTAGCATAAACTTTCTGCCTTTTGTTCTTTTGTGGGCAACGTATTAGCTCTTGGATTCTGAGTTTTTAAATGGTATAATTTTTGTTTGGCTCCAGGCAACAGTAGTTCTACTTTGTGTCTGAGCCTCCCATCATCATCTGTCACTCTGTGCCCACTTGTTCTATTAAAGTATCATCAGGAAGGCACACAATTGATCCAGGGTAAAGAATTCTGTTCTAGCAGTGAATGAATCATTCAATGTTGTACGTCCACTGGGAAGAAAAAAACTCCATGCAGCATACTCATTTTCATGATTTTTATGTACTAAAAGACATTGTTATTAATTCAGTGTCTCCAGAGATATTCTCAATCCATTTCAAAGCCTGCAATCCAGGAATCATTACACTCACTTTGTTTCACTCTGCTCTACCTTCTAGATCAGAACATGTTGTGTCCTATTGATAGTTTCTCCTGTCAATAGACATGCTAGTGATAGAAGAAACTTGGCCAATATGATTAGAGTCTGTAAGATTCTCCTGGGTGATGTAAAACTTGCTCATAGGCAGACGGGAGAACTTCCTCCTGCAACACACAGGCTGGCACCTGACTCACCTACAATAAAAGAAAAAAAGAGAGCTACTTCGTTCCACTATCTCTTTGTGTCTCATGAGTTGAAAGCTGAAGCAGTACTCCCCAGCAAACATGAGTATTTTAGTTCTAAGTAGCTGACTGGAGAAATATGAAATCAGCTTACTTTGAAGAACATTAAAAAAATGTTTTCATGCTTTGGAAAAGGTTCAGCGTATCAGGTGAAATATTTGAAAATAAAAATTGTTGTGGATTTTATACCATTGTTGGCCTGAAAGAGCAGTTCACATTTAATTAATATTCTAAGGTAGCACTGTGGCATATTTATAAGACTACAAGTAACAATTCACAGAATGAATTAATAATTTGATCCTGCTCTGTTCTGAATGTTTGTGCCCCCACAAAACTCAGATGTTGAAATTCTAACCGTCAAGGTGATGATATTAGGAAATGGGGCCTTTTAGAGGCAACGAGATCATGAGGTCAGAGCTAATGGCACTAATGGGATGAGTGTCCTTATCAAAGAGACCCCAGGCCGGGTACAGTGGCTCACACCTGTAATTCCAGCACTTTGGGAGGCTGAGGCAGGCGGATCACAAGGTCAGGAGTTCGAGACCAGTGTGGCCAACATAGTGAAACCCTGTCTCTAGTAAAAATACAAAAAAAAAATAGCTGGGCATGGTGGTGTGTGCCTGTAGTCCCAGCTACTCAGGAGACTGAAGCAGGAGAATTGCTTGAACCCAGTAGGCGGAGGTTGCAGTGAGCTGAGATTGTGCCATTGCACTCCCACCCAGGCAACAGTGCGAGACTTTGTCTCAAAAAAAAAAGAAACCCCAGAGAAACCCTTGCCCTCCACCATGGGAGGACACAGCAAGAAGATGCCATCGATAAGCTGGAAAGTGCGCTTTCTCCAGACACCAAATCTATCTTGATCTTGAACTTGCCAGCTTTCAGAAATGTGAGAAAGACATATCTGTTGTTTATAAGCCACCCACTCAGTTTATAGATTTTGTTATGCAGTCTGAACAGGTTAAGACAGATAGGTCCCTCAATCTTTTATTCAAGAGCAGCAGGGATAGTGGCCATGACTACAGATGGGAGTCAAATATATCTGGGCTTTATGCAAGCTTAAACATGCATTAGATAATTGACACTGGACGAGTTACCCCACTGTTCTTGCCCTCAACTTTATAATCTTGGAATGAAGACGGTAATATCTATTTCACTGGGGTATAATATAAAACAGTGCCCAGAACCCTGGGGAGTTACATAAATCAGTGCTCAAAAGTAGCTGTTATTTTGCTCTGGGATGTTACTGAAACATATGAAGCCTTATCTTTCCCACAGACTCCAGGCAGTCAAATGCCCTCTGTAATGTTTCTTCAAATTCCTAGAGGATATAATTTTCATGCCCCTGGTTTAGACAGAGGCTATCTTTCTTATTCTTCTTAGAAGATAAAATATTTCAAAATAAAGAAAGATCTCATTGCTACTAAATACAGAATACTGCATTATCCATAATATTGAACTTAAATTTGCCTTTGTGATTTTTAAAATCTACTTTTAAAATTCTTGTACTGCATTCAATTGTTGACATTTCCAGCTCTCTATTTTGTAGGGTTAGGACAGCATTAAATACAAAATGAAGAAAATGAAGGAAAGATCTCTAGTGCATATACCAGCTTTACAGTTTTCTAATAGCCCACAAAATGTGCCCCTGATGAGCTTGTAAGCCAGCTGGGGACTCAGATACATCAGAAGTGACATCTCAAGGCAGGGGGAGGATGCCAGAGGCAGCCATAACAGAATGTGGGAGAAATCCCTTGGGGAGCCGTGTCCAGCCTTGCAGATGCTAATTAATCTTGTCATGATATTGTGCCATTCCGCCTCCTTGGTAGCTCTGTCAGAGCATTCTGAACAATCACAGTAAGAGAAATGCAATTGCAGTCATGTTTCATCTCCAGCTGTTTCCTGAGAAGATGACAGGTATTCATGAAGCATTTCTCACAGTCCTGATGAGACTGAGGAGCAGAGTCCACGCCTCAAAGGATCGATCCTGGAGTCTCAGCATGTTCTGACGGTTTCAGTGATCTGCCAGGATTTGGGTATTTTATCCAGTGATGGGTTAGAGGGCATGAAGCTGTGGGTTTTGGAGTTGGACTCACCATTTTTAGGGCTCAAGTGTGTTAGACCCTAAAATTAAAACTCACTGAGGGTGGGCACTCCCTCCATGTTTTAAACTTCTTTCTATCCCTGCATAAGGCCAGTCTCAGTGTCCTGCATATACTAGGTGCTCATTATATTTACTATTGATTATATTTACCAAAATATCTTATGGATTCCTAATTATTTTACTTCATGGAGTCTTTACATTATCCATGGAACAATGTCCCTCTTGAACCTCATCTTATCCTCTCTGAATGTCCCAATTCATAGTAAGCTTTTCTTCCTCTGAATGTACCATCCTTCTGACACTAAAGAGAACATGCCCACAACTTGCAAAGTACGTCTTTTACAACAAAGTGAGTGCGCCACATGATTACATGGGGTTGTATTGGTTTCTTTCCTTTGTTCTCTGTTTTCAAATTGTGGTCTTTAGGGACCTGAGAGAAGAAAAGCCGGCTCAGTGCCAAGCCACATGACTCTTAAAGCCTGTTTCCTTTACACAGAGATCTTGCCAAAGTTTTAAATTTATTGCATAAAAGGACCCAACGTGCTTTGTCCCCCTCAATTTCTGTCTAAGGAATGGTAGTGGATTGGGGTGTTCATTTTTACATTTTCCTGGTTTTCTAGTTACCCAATTACAAGTCACCTTTCCCCTGTCTTTTGAGATACTGACTTACAGTGATGTCACACAGTCAAGGACACAATAAATAGCTAGGATGGACCTAAGGGTCTCTGGTATGCCTACAATGCTAAGCATTTGTGTGGTTTGTTTTGGGGACAGCATCTAGCTCAAGATTCATATGTATATTTTAGCGGAAATTTTTCTTCCTTTTTTTCGCCACCTTTCTCCCTTCACTAAGCTGGGCACTGGACGTTAGTAATACTAAGAGACATCAGACATCTTCTCTCCCTTCAGAGCATGACTCAGTAGAAGATTTAGGTACATAAACAGAAAGTAACACTTTGGAGGATGTGCTATAAACTACGAGAGCACAAATGAAAACTGTTATCTGTAAGAAATGCATAGAGGGCGAACCACATAGATATGATATGTTTAAGTTTGACCCTCCAAGATGATAAGCATATAACTAAGTCTTGATGATCTTAGCTCCTAAATACGTCTCTAATCTCTCTGCTTTCTTCCATCTCTGCTCCTAGACCCTCACCACAGCTGACAACATGTCTAGCCTGCACTACTGCAAGGACTTCTTGGTCTGCGGTAGTGTGGTCAGCTGAAGAAGCCTGCTTAGTTGCTTCAGCAGGGGCTCACACTAAGAAAGGTTGGGTCAAAGTTATAAAGTGACTGTGAATGAGAACTCAGTGTGGGCTCTATCAAGCAGAGAAGGCACGCAGAGTTGAGAAAAGTGAAAGCCATAAAACTATGTTAAGCCAAAAAATAAAAATTAATAATGAAATGGGTGTGGCATTATGGAGTGTTCTGTGGAGTACTATGACCCTACTTCATGAAACAGCTTCAAGGCAAGAATCTAGTAGTTTTTTCCATTGCCCCCAGGGCAGAGAAGAGTAACAGACGGGATGGAGATGTGCAAAGAAGTAAAATGATGGAGCCAGAAGTAGAAGAGAAGAGAACAAAAAGATAAAATCAGGACTAGAAGAGGTCTTCCCCTACCACCACCACCAGCCATGCCAAAAGTAACTTCATAGGCATTTACCTCAACTGGGACTGCCTTAGAAATGGTAGAAAATTTAGTTCTCTATGTCATGTCAAAATAATCTTCTGCACCGGCCTTTCATTGCACCTAAAAAGGCTTTTTTTGTTTATTAAAAAAAAGTTCTATTTTAATATTATTAAATAATATTAATTTTATTTGCATCTTAATGCAAATGCCCCTAGGAGAGGTAAATCACAGAAGTTAATATTTTGGCCTTGTGTGGACATTTATGGATAGATAGATAATAATGGTCTATAACTTGAAATGAAAAAAGGACAAGGGTGTACGTGCGTGTGTGTGTTTGTATGTGTGTGTGTTGGTAGGGTAACAAAAACTCTTGAGAATAAACATCAAAGAAGAAGGTATAAAGTGGGAGAACAGCAAAAGTGAGGTGCAACATCTGAATTGGGAGACCCGGAATGCAGAGAGACAGCTGACTCCTATCATCCAGGCCACGAACATTATAATCTTGACCTCGTCAGTGACTTCTATCTGCTATTATTATATCTGCTCCTGCCCCACTAAATCGTTCTCCACACAGCAAAACGAGCTCCAAAATACATAAAGTAAAAACTGTTAGGACAGAAATGAGAAATAGACATATCTGCAATTATAGTTGGAGACATCAATAGCTCTCTTTAAACAATTGATAGACCAACTAGACAGAAAATCAGCAAGGATATATAGAAGAACCTAGCACACCACCAAATAACAAGAATAAAATGACATATATAGAACACACCAACCAACAACAGAAGAATACACAGGCCAGGTGTGGGGGCTCACTCCTGTAATCTCAGCTCTTTGGGAGGCCGAAGCAGGTGGATCACCTGAGGTCATGAGTTCAAGACCATCCTGGACAACATGGCAAAACCCTGTCTCTACTAAAAATACAAAAATTAGCCAGGCACGGTGGCACACACCTGTAATCCCAGCTACTTGGGAGGCTGAGGCACAGGAATTGCTTGGATCCATATAATACTGAATGGGCAAAAACTGGAAACATTCCCTTTGAAATCTGGCACTAGACAAGGATGCCCTCTCTCACTACTCCTATTCAATATAGTACTGGAAGTTCTAGCCAGAGCAATCAGGCAAGAAAAAGAAATAAAGGGTATTCAAAGAGGAAAGGAGGAAGTCAAATTGTCTCTATTTGCAGACGACATGATTGTATATCTAGAAGATCACATCATCTCAGCCCAAAATCTCCTGAAACTGATAAGCAAGTTCAGCAAAGTCTCAGGATACAAAATCAATGTGCAAAAATCACAAGTATTCATATACACCAATAACAGACTTAAAGAGAGCCAAATCAAGAATGAACTGCCATTCACAATTGCCACAAAGAGAATAAAATACCGAGGAATACAACTAACAAGGAACGTAAAGGACCTCTTCAAGGAGAACTGCAAACCACTGCTCAATGAAATAAGAGAGGACACAAACAGATGGAGAAGCATTCCA